GAAAAGTAACGAAAAGTTATTTTTCAAGTAACGGTAACTGTAACGAGTTACTTTTAAAAAGCGATAACTGTAACTGTAACTAGTTACATTTTTTACTCGGTAACGAGTAACTGTAACTAGTTATTTTTAAAAAGTAACTTTCCATTCCCTGACTTTTGGATCATTATTATAGATTTTTTAAATCATGTATAGCTATACGTATTAAAATTTCGTTATTATTTACAGGATGTGAGTGCCTTAAGTTTCAATCAAAAAGGAAACTTATTAGCAAGAGCCTCTCTAAATACAGTTTCTATTTGGGATTGGGCTGCAAGGAAAAAGCGTTGTTCCAGCCACTTTCCAATTCGCAATTACGACATAACTGAGGTATATATTTATATTATACAATAAAGTATTGCTATTTGAATGTTTTGTAATAGTTATTCTGATTTAATTGTATTTTTTTATTAATCTTTTCAATTTAATAATATATGTGTTTAGGCCAAATGGCTGCCTTTAGACGTAGAAAATTTTATGGTCACTCGTGGTTTCTATGGTGATATACATTTATTAGATCTTGAATACAACTCATGGAAATTGTTGCACTTTGATTCATCCTTTCTTGATTCGATAGCACGTAGAAGAAATTTTATAAATGACGGGTCATTGGCTGTGCATCCTGAAATACCCTATGTCGTGTTTTCTGCTGGAAACGGCTCGATTTCATCCATAGATATCCGGGAGGATACATCAAAGTAAGACATTGTTATTAAAAAGTTCACATGTAATAATGTTTCTTATATATTCTTTGTTTATAGCATGCAGAATGTCTACATATAATATTAATTTTTTTTGTACCAAAAATCGTTGTATTGGCTGTGTTCAGCAGACTCAACAGTTTTGCAACCGTTTCATAATTCGTCTCGCTGATTGGATTATACTTTTTGATCTAAAGAAATAGTCCTGTCTCAAAGTCATAAAATAATTATAAACTGTTGAGTCTGCTGAACGCGACCATTATCTGGCGTTAAGTGTAGCACGGGATCGTCCTGTGTACTTATGTGCGAATCAATCACATTGTGATTGAAAGATGACTGGACCGTTATGACAGCTATAGCCAGGTTCAACAAAAGTAATATTGATTTATTTCGGTTCAACTTACTGTTAATCTTTTCCTAATTCTCATAATTGTTTCTGTTTTTTTAATTCCAAGAATTAGAAAAACAGGAACGATAAGTTAAACCAAAATATACTTATATTGTTTGCACCGGAGTTAATGCCTATTTTTAAAATGTAGATTAATTTTAATCTTGGTTCAACTTATACTTTGGACAAGAAAAAATGATAAGAATCTTATTAAATCGTACATTCGAAATTCAACAAACAGAAAATAGGATATGCTGGCATAAAAGATCCAGGTTCGACCATTATAACAAAAAAAGTTAAAACAAAATTAAATTTAATTTACGTTAATTAGTAGAAATGAGCATAAGTCGATTAAATTCTACATAGACACAATACTAAATTTTGACAATAGTCAATATTCAATACTAAAGACCGTTAATATAAGAACATAACTAATACAAACACGAAGCCTACAACAGTCTAGCTTGGATCTTTAACTGCTTACATATACCGCGGTACTATCACGAATTAAAACAAATGAATAATTAACTAATATACGTAGTCCCCCCAAACTGCGCGTCGAACTATCGTTGGTCTTGAACGCAATTCTAATAATCTGAAAATACTAAATCTGGAAATAATTCTTTTTATTGTGAAAAATATTACATCTGCCGGAAGTTGAACCCGGATACCTTGCTTTACGCGCAAGTGTCCTAGCCAATTAGACTACCGAGGCCATAGTAATATTCCTCGCAATAATTTATTTTAATTGGTGATAATACCGCAGTAGTTTATATGTAAACAATTAAAGATCCAAGCTAGACTGTTATAGGCTTCGTGTTTGTATAGTTATACTAATAAATTTTGAGTTTACATGATAAAAGTGTTTATTTTCGTTCTGTAATACTAATGTTATATATATATATATATATCCATTATAATATTATATACATTTATGTTCATATCCATAGATTGCGCTATATAAAGAGATGTCGATATAGTATGTTAACAAGTATACATTGTAATCCTTCTAATAGTAATGAATTTTGTGTCAGCGGTTATCGTCCCTCATGCGTAAGGGTGTATGATCAGCGAAAAATTTCGAAACCACTTTATAAATTGTGGATCACCAGCAAGTATGACAAGGTATGTATTAGTTTGATTCAAACCTATTGCTGAAAAGTTTATCAATATTTAAAGAAATACTACAGTGTTTATGTTTTTTACATGAGTATTAATTACTATAATATGTAATTTAAATGTATTAGGAGAAGTATACAAAAATCGCCATGTACAATCACGATGGGACAGAGATTCTCACATTGTGTAAACCTTCCAAAGTATTATTATTTGATAAATCAATGTGGTCATGTGAAGGAAATTCGAATCATACATTATTTGGATGCGATCAATTTAGTGATTCTGTACCTGGTGTACCTGGTGAGATTGTCCAGGGACGTTATTTTAGATGTAATTATATTATTATTATATTCCCGGTATTTTACTTTTTTTTATTTTTAGAACTCTTTATTTTAAGTATATTTCAAAAAAGAAGAAGCACACAGTAACATTATTGAATGGTTTATTTGTTAATTAATTTTTATTCTGAGATTATTGTTTAAAGATTTTTTTATGTACATTTTTTATAATTGTTTCGTCTAAGTAATTGAAAAAGCGACGCTTTAAATAATCATAATATGATTTATTAATAGTAGATATTAAGTTGTCTTAGTTATATGTTGTGATTGCAGCTATACGTGGAATCAATTTTTTCGGACCTAAAAGTGAATTTATTATATCTGCATCCAATCTTAGTGATATATTCATTTATGACAAGAAAAAAAGAACTGCGGCACAGTGGTTGATAGAAGATTACCAACTCGAAGTGTGTTCATTTTGTGCATTTGATAAACAAATTATTCTTCTTCGTAGTATGTGTTGCACAAAATAACTTTTATTCATTTAATGTATAGGTGGATAGTCATCATTGCTTAGGTCATCCCCATATTCCTATTCTTGCAACGGCAAGTAAGTCCAATGTCCTGATATGGATGCCTTCGAGCAATGAAGATCCAACAAAATCAATATTTAGGACTGTATGTATAGAATTATCTATGTGTTTTTTTTTGCATTTTTCTTTTTCTTGCTTAATCATATAATTTAATAAATAAATAACATAATTTTTAAAACAACGTCACTAAAATAAGCAATATAGTTGAATACAATAGATTAGTGGTATCAATAAACCATAACATTATGATTTATGCATTTCCTGTTTTTCACAGGAAACGTCACCTCAAATCGTACGGAGATCTACGAGACCTCGCCACCCTCCACTACGATATACACCAAACTAACCGCATTGTCCTTAGAAATTCATGTACTCTAAATACAAAAAAGGGGGAAGAGTATCGTATATGAAATTTACCATCAGCATTCGTTACGTTACCGACACGGAATTTACGGTTGTCGCTACTGTCTGTCTGTTGCATACAATAAAACAGTCTTTGTATACCTTGTAATATTATAGTCTTCTTCTTATAATCACCTAGATAAATTCAATACATAAAAATTTCTTTTTCCGATTACTTGCATTACAAAGATATACATATTTGTCATAGAGAGTTTGTTAAAGTAAGTTTGTTCACCTTATTTACATTTTTTACACTAAGCATCTTCGTCTTCTTTCTCTTTCACACGCACGCACGCACGCACGCACAACGTCCAATATACATATATCAGGAAATAAAAAGTTACTCGTTTTAAAATTAAAGTTACAGTTACTTGTCATAGAATAAAAAGAGTAACGAGTTATATATGAAGAATTATTAATACGTGTGTCAAAGCACTTGCGAGAATTTGAGAATAACTATAGACCTCTGATAGCGGGTCGACGTAGTAATATTCTTCGCAATATTTATCTAAAGTAATATATGTATTCCCCTCCCACTCCCCTAAACTTGCGCGCCGAACAATCGTCGGTCTTGAAACGCAACTCTATCTGAAAAGTCCCCCCAAATTGGGGAATACATATATTATTTTAGATAAATATTGCGAATAATATTACTACGTCGACCCGCCATCAGAGGTATATAGATATTCGCAAAATTCTCGCAAGTGCTTTGATACGCGTAGGTATACTCTTTATATAGAATCTCAACTAAATAAAACTCTCTCAGGCGTATAAGGTAGGCTTCCATTATAATACCTTACTGATGAGTTCAGTAGTGGAAGCCGGGACGAAACGCCAACATTACGTGATAATCTTCGCAATATATTAGAATAAAATTAAAGATTTTAACGAATTTATGGCTCGTAGCCCTGTTCTCTTATTAGTTTTAAATTTATTGAGCCTTATTACAATCTAAATATGAAATAAAATTTCTTATAAAAACAATATATTGTAAAAAGAAAGGTATACATATATGCAGGGAATGGAAAGTTACTTTTTAAAAATAACTAGTTACAGTTACTCGTTACCGAGTAAAAAATGTAACTAGTTACAGTTACAGTTATCGCTTTTTAAAAGTAACTCGTTACAGTTACCGTTACTTGAAAAATAACTTTTCGTTACTTTTCCGTTACTTTTTTAAAATCAATTTAAAAATGTACTTTTGCATTTTTTTTTTATATGTAATACTGACAAATATATAGTTTTTTTTAAAAAAAAAAAAAACAATGTAGAATGGCTCAAATAATAAATTAAATAAAAGTAAAATGAGAAGGGTTACGAGCCAAAAATGAAACAGTTTATTTCCGATAAGAACGACGATGACAATGTAATTAAATGTATAAATATATATTAGAACAATACAAAGATAAAAACAAACGACGTTTCGACACTTATTGTCATCGTCTTTTAAACTGTTTCGCTTTTGGGTTCATAGCCCTTCTCATTTTACTATTATTTAATTTATTTTTTAATTTTTTTTAAACACAATTTTGTAATTCTAAAACCTGTAAAATATGCAGCAAATTGAAATATTTGTATGTCCCAATGTATTACATAGAAGATAGAAGTGTAAAATAATTACTGAATCATAACGGCCGAATGTCTAAGGGCTTTCAAGTCTTATTGATAAGAGCGATAAATAGCATGTATCCAATCGAACCGTGTTCAATCGTGTGCAAAGTAACGACAAAAGTAACTGTAAATTTCGTTACCGTTACCCAAAAAATGTAACTCGTTACCGTTACAGTTACCAAAAAAAGAAAGTAACGCAGTTACCAGTAAAGTTACCAAAAAAGTAACTTGTAACTGTAACTTCGTTACAAGTAACGAGTTACTTCCATTCCCTGCATATATGTATATTCGATGTACACAATTCTTATTCTAAAATTACAATTATGAACAAAACGGGAGCGTCAAGTATGTTGCTGAAGATCTTGCTCCTTTTCGATTGTCTCTATGATTTTCTACTTGTTATCGAGGTAAAAATCCTTTTTCAATTTCTGCGCCTCTTATTAGGCTACCTATTACATTTCGTTTTCTCATTTTAATATCTCGTTATACTTTATACACATTAAATAAAATGTATTTTTTTTTAAAGTTGTTATAATTATCTACCCAAATAACAATATGTTATCCAAAAGGTTTCTAAAAGATATCTTATTTCTGAATCTGATAACTTAGAGAAACTTCTTAAAAATCACATAAAGATAACTGAATGTTATCTAATGCGTCGTTTTTTGAGAACAGAAAGATGTCACAAAAATGATATATAAAAGATTTCTTAAATTGGACATCTTTATGATTAACATATATATTCATATTTATGATGTCTTAAAGAAATCTGTTATATGTTAATATATAGATTTCTTTAAAAAGAGAGTTTACAGGTTATGTTTACAGGTTTGAATTAATTAATCTTGCCGTTCACTTCATCAGGGCGAGGAATGCACTGATACGTATCTATTAGCGATTTCGGCTGGGAAAATGAGTGTGCACTGGTGCATATTAAAACCGTTGTACACTGTTAATCTACCACCGCGGCAGTACACGGATATAACATATACACGACATGTACATTGTACACGGACTTAACATGCACCAGTGTACACTAGTGCATCCCACCCGAAATTGCTACAAGTATCACTGCACTCCTCGCCCTGATGAAGTGAATGGCAAGATTATGAATTCACAGAACGTTGGCGCGATAATCTACAAACCTTCTGGCATCTCTGAAACAGAATCTTTCCTAATAAGTAACATCAAATGAATTTCTCATAAAAGATATCATAATTATGTCTCGTTTCTGAACTGTCAAAAATCATACAACATATTGATATCTTTTATGAGAAAACAAACTAATATCATTTAGCATGACATCATAAAGATAACAATTTCAAGACATCTCTCAAATCGGATATCTTAAAGAGTTCTCTTGGTAGATTCTCTAATAAATGATTATTATGAGATATCGTTTAGACATTATTTTAAAGATAACTAAATGTTCTCTTGAAAAAGTTCTCTTAAAGTTTTCATTCTGACAAGCATGCTGTCTGGGTAATACACCACAGTTCTAAAGGATACCCAAAGGTATTATTAATAAAAAGGACGCCTTCATGATGCAGATACGTGTTCTGTAGGAGCATTTTAATAAAAATAATTGAAATATTATTTTAATTTCACTTCTTTTTTATGGCATTAAATTTGATTTTTTTGCAAAATATTGTATATTATTTTGATTTCACTTCATTTTATGGCATTAATTTATTTGACGCTTTTTTTTTACATTTTTAATGTCTTTTTTCGGTTTTTATCTTCGTAATATATCATAATTATTTTAATTTTTGACTCTTATGCCCTTTACTTACATTTAAATTTGTTTATTAACAAGAGTCCTTTATACATATTTTTATTGTTATTTTTAATGATATCACAATAATGGAATTACAAGTGAAAGGCCAAGTGAAGTAACCTTAAGAGAAGAGATTTATTCATTGATTTACTTAATGGGTTTTTTGATAATTATTTAAGAATATTGTCAGATATATAGTCTCTGCAAAAAGTGACAAAAAATGTATACTTTCCATATAAAAATGAATATTATATAGGTGCATATGGAACAATTCAATAAAGTTAACATTTATGTTTAACGAAACACACAATTTTACAGTTAAATTAAAACTTCCTGATTTTAAACTAATAATATGAGAATAGGGCTACGAGCCTGAGATTCATTAAAATCTTTAATTCTATTAATTCTAATATATTCCTGATTTTATCTTAATTATTCAATCACTTAATATTATTGTACCGTATTGTTTCTAATATGAAGCAATTCTATTTAAAAGGAGAAGACTTTGAATTGAGACTTAGAAGTTAAAGACAAGAGTATAAAAGTTTTTATTACACACAAAATATATACATATTTCCTTAAGAAACATACATTTGACTGATGTGCTGTCCTACCTACGCTTACAACTGTGTCGTTCATATTTGTGCTACATTTAAATCCTTTTTTAAATTTGTATTATTATTAAAGTAATATAAGTATATATTATTTTTATGAACATATTTATGTAAGAAAACATCAATGAACTAATACATAGGTGTTAAGCGAAGACCGTTTATAATTTATTAAAAAAAAAAAATAATTGAAGAATTAAAGGATTCTTTTATATAACAATAATTAATACGTTAAAAATGGCGGTAAAAATGTAGATTAGGGGAGCCTCCTCCAATGACCTTGACCTTGACATATGTTGTCAAGGTCATGACCCTGAGTGACCTTGAGGAAGCTTTAACTGTCGGACCTAACTCGTTAAAAAGTTATTAACAAAAAAAGTTTCAAAATTAACGTATTATTTCTGCTATACATGTATGATATGAAGTACTATTCTACATCTTTCCCTGTTCAGAAACGTTGAACTTTTCACGAGAAGTAACTTTCACCCCTCCCCCCCCCTTGCACAGGGGCACACGACTTCTACAATTATACTGTTGTTATGATAGTACTGTCGGGGCAGACCTCTGTGACGGTGTGGGTGCGGGGGGGTGGCCCAGAAATATACCCCAGAAATTTTGTTCTGTATACCACAAATGTTAAACACCTTGTGTTATATTACAATATTATATCATAATGTTATTATTACATCATAATATATAAAATGCCATTCAGAGCCGGACACTGGATGTACAGCGTAGCAAATTGTTTATTAAATTAAAACTTAGTCGTTTCGATCGTTAATACTATATTATACTTTTCACACAATACAATTTGTCCTTTATATAAAATCTAATATACATGTGAGATGTAGATGTCGTTACATACATTCTAGAGATTTGTTTGCTATGTACAACTTCACATGAATAATCTCTCTATGTAAAACTTCTCATGTACAATAGATTTTGTATAAGGACAAATTGTATTGAAAAGGATCGTATTCACGATCGAAACGTCTAAGTTTTAATTTAATAAAGAATTTTACTAAACATATACATCCAGTGTTTGGTTCTCATTGGCATTTAAATATTATGATTCAATTCACAGAGGCTTCTTTACACATTTTTTAATTGCGTTATTATTATATACAATAGAAGGGAAAAAGGATAAGAATATTATAATTGATTTTATAATTCTTTTATAAATGAATAAATTCGGTTGAAGACACAAAATTTTTATTTCCTTTAATGTTCATTGAAGTGATTTTCCTTAAAGATTCCTTTTACAAACGAGAAAATGTTATTTTTATCGACATATTTTAACAGCTTTGTGACTGTTTGAATTTGATAACGAAGACTTTAATGCAAATAGAATACTAACATATTTTTAATTAATGTGTAGATGTATAAACACGAAGACGTTTAAGTGAGAAAGAATTGAAAAACAATAATATTAAGTATATAATAGAAAGCTCTATAAGTATAAAACGACAAAAAGAAATGAAGTGATTTCGACGATGTCGAAGATAACGTAATTTATTATCGGTACGTACCTATACGATATCTAACATCGAAAAAATCACTTGCACTGTAACATTTCGTTTGCAAACTTGCACACATTTCTAAATTTAACGATTTTATGTCTATGATGAGTCTTTCAACTCTGCGTTCTCCTTTATTGTTCATATACTTTTAAAATTTTATCTAATAAGACTATGTCCGTTTCTTATTTATAGACATTTAACATTTTACCACTTTGACTATTCTAATTTATATACTCGCAACTGTAAAAAATATGAGGACTGCGTTACCGAAAAATTCTATAGATTTCAAATAGTTTCATAATTATAATTTACTGTCACATTGATAATGATTCGATCGGCGTCACACTTGTTGTAATTTCTTTATTGTGTTGAAAAATAATAAGGTTTCTTTGTTGCTTAACTGCTATCAATCCTTCATTTGTCGTTTGTGGTAATATTAAAGGACATACCTTGCAAGGATATTGTCTTTTAATTTTGTGCTTCCAGTCCACATGATAAGCAAGTACCATATAGTATCAGAATTCTTTTCACATTCATTAGAATCGTAATAACGTTAATTATTTTAATGAAACACAAATTTGTGCTGTTTTAGAGATCGAATATGTCTATAAAGTTACCGTTCAATATATCAGTATTTACAACATAATTTAAGTATATAAGACGAATTACCAAGTAATTCCTTTTTTCTTGATATTCAGTACTTGATGTACCCACCTAAACATATCTCCACAAAATTCACAATGATAAGGTTTTTCTCCTATATGAGTTCTCTCATGAATATGCAAATGCGCTTTACTCTTAAATTCGTTATTACACGTTTCGCATTTGTATGATACACCTCCAGTGTATACGTCCTTATTAGACTTTAAACGTTCATCATTTCTGTGCTTACTTTTCACGTGACTTGTTAGGTTTTCCTTTTGACTGCAAATAGACCATATTTTATTACTTACTATTTTTTATCTGTTAATTTAATTATTGATATTGGATTACTGAAGTATTTTCCTATCTCCTGTTGTTCACTTAAATTCTCACCTACATTTAAATTCACATAACTTGCATTGATAAGGTTTTTCGCCTGTATGAGTTTTTACATGCCTATTAAAATGCCATTTGCCCTTAAACTCTTTATGACACGTTCCGCATTTGTATGATTTACCTACAGTATAAAGATGCCTGTTAGACTTGAAACGTTCATCATCGAAATGCATTGCCAGAATGTGCGCTGATAGATTATATTTGGACCTGCAAATCGACAGTTACAATTTTTATTACTTCTACCAGTTAATTTAATTATAGATAATGAATTACCAAAGCATTTCCCTATAACTCTTGTAGTTCACGTAAATACTCACGAACATTTATATTCACATAATTTGCATTGATAATGTTTTACGCCTGTATGAGTTCTTTCATGCCTATTACAATTCGATTTTGTCTTAAACTCTTTATTACACGTTCCGCATTTGTATGATTTACCTCCAGTATGCTTATTATGAATTGCCAGAATGTGCGATGATAGATTTCCTTTGGTACTGCAAACCGACAGTTACAATTTTTATTACGTTTAATAGATAATTTAATCAATGATATTGAATCATCAAAGCATTTTCTAACTCTTGTTGTTCACTTAAATACCCACCTAGTCATGTGACCACAAATATCACATTTATAAGGCTTTTCGTCATTATGAATTCTCTCATGAATACGCAAATTGTATTTATTCTTAAACTCTTTATTACACGTTCCGCATTTGTATGATTTACCTCCAGTATGCTTATTATGAATTGCCAGAATGTGCGATGATAGATTTCCTTTGGTACTGCAAACCGACAGTTACAATTTTTATTACGTTTAATAGATAATTTAATCAATGATATTGAATCATCAAAGCATTTTCTAACTCTTGTTGTTCACTTAAATACCCACCTAGTCATGTGACCACAAATATCACATTTATAAGGCTTTTCGTCATTATGAATTCTCTCATGAATACGCAAATTGTATTTATTCTTAAACTCTTTATTACACGTTCTGCATGTGTATGATACCCATCCAGTATATAGATCCTTATTAGATTTGAAACGTTCATCTTTCTTATGCATTGACACCATGTGCGATATTAGGTTACCTTTGGTCCTGCAAAACAACCGTTACAATTTTTTATATTACATTTACCTGTTAATTTAATCAATGATATTGAATCATCAAAGCATTTTCTAACTCTTGTTGTTCTTAATACCCACTTAAATACCCACCTAGTCATGTGACCACAAATATCACATTTATAAGGCTTTTCGTTTTTATGAATTCTGTCATGACGACTCAAATCGGCTTTAGACTGAAATCCTTTATTACACGTTTTACATACGTGTGGTCTAATTTTATGTATGTTTCTATTCTCCTGATTCGAAGTTGTCGGGGAATTAGAGCGATCATCTTAAAATTAAAGATAGAACTTGTTATGAAAGAAATTAACAAGGTAACATAATTCTTATAATTTTTGGCATACTCGACTCAACACAATTAAAGCATTATCTGTAACAACAGGCTAACTTCCAAAAAGAATAACTTCGTAAAAGATCATATCGAAATGTTTGAAAAACCATTTTAAATCATGTTCTCTACCTTTCACACCGTCACTTCAAAAAATGTTTTGCTGATATTTCATGAAGTTACAGTATCATAAATAAAGAATCATCAAATCTTAAAGTTTCATATGGTGAAGTTGCACAGTGCGAAATGATAATTATGCACAATTGTGTTTCAAGGCTTCCGAAAGATAGAATCGTTTTTTATGTAATTTTCTTTTTTGTAGACATCTGTACGATTTCTTTCACCGATTTATTCAACGTTGAAGCAAAATGTTCATTTTTACATCAGCGTCCAATAATTCTGATAAAGAAAATAGTACAGAGCACGAATTAAATTTAGATACCAAGCTTTATCCTTTCAATTGCTTTTAAACCGCATCAGTGCACATTTTTAATTCGTGACGTGAAATTTTCGCAAATTTCGTTAAAAATATTGAAATCTGTTGCACCTTTAAGTTTATTTATGTAATTTTATAAAATATTGTTTGAAGTAAAAGTCTGAAAAGAACAGATTCAAAGCTTTAAATTGTTTTTCTGAAAATCTCGATACGATAATTATTGACAAAATTATTCAACATTAACGTTTTTTTATCTTTTTATGATGTAATATTTAATGTATTTATTTTGTTGATCAAATTTTAATGCACAAATATATTAATAAAACTAAGAATTATTTTTAGGGACTATATATTTCTTACTGCGCTGTTGATGTACATCTTTTGTGTCATTATCCGTTTCTTCATTTTGATTCATCTTTTCAGTATCAACTCTCAAATTCAGGGGTATTTTTCAGTTCACTTTACTGTAACTTGTTCTTTATATTACTTTCGTAGTTTACACGTTCTAAATATAATTAGTCACATTTATGTTCATACTTTTCCTAAATTATAAGAAACCCTAAAAAACAGTAGCAATTTTAAATAAAATAAAATTATAATAAACTGATAGCTGTCACGAAAAGTAATAAGATAGTAACAGAAAGCTGTGTCAAATAGAATTAGTTATTAATACTTAATGTTAGTTAGAAGTATTTAAAATTATAAAGTTACCTCTCTGACGTTGGTTGGTTGATAAATTTATTTAATTAAGATTAATTTAACGTTTATGATTTAATAACTTTTATTGAAATATTAAAAGTTGTATAGATCAAGAGCAAATGATACGTTTAAATTTAAAATTGTTTGCTCACAAATAGGCACGTCAATGTCTTGGGAACAACTGATCCAAGGTCTTCTACGGATACCTCTCCATTATATGTTTTCATATACATAAAGATATACTTATGTGTACTTATAAGTGATTCTTACGAGAACCGACAGGACATTTTGCATTATAATATAAGAATAACTGCGGAGAAATATTCTTTAGGAAAATCAAACTCATTTTTTCTGTTTTTCCTTAAAAAAAAACAGTGGTATTAATTTAAATTATAAAATCTAGAGAAATGCAATTAATTAGAATTGCGTTAACGAATAAAAAATAAATATGTTGTATTAATTAAAATTGACGCGTTAATATTAGACGATTAGTGAAAGCAGCCTTGAGGATCGTTTTGATGTGCAAAGGCGGACGCGAGTCGCACGTCACCCCCTCACCCGGCTCACCGATAATAAACCGTGCAGTCATCACTTAAATACATATATATATATTAAATAAAATTATTATTTTAAATTCTACTGACTGCTGACCGATATGACGTATATTTAAAACCATCG